GCACTCCGTACTTTAACGTTTGGAATGAAGTGAAATTAGGCTTAACACCATAGTGTATAAAATATTGTTTACACAATCTTCTGCTTCATCATTTGGCGTACTTGTTAATTTGTACTTTCTTTTCCTGAAATACTTTTTTTATTTTAAGTGTTTTCCAGTTGTATTGTGCCAACAATCAACCCTCATCTTCATTTAAATTCGTTATTCTCCAAGTACGTGCAATTGTTGAAACGTTTCATATTTAAAAATCAAGTAACTTAACGCGAAATGACCAGTAGACACTAAATCGCGAGAACATGAATTTGCTAGTGGACTATTAATCAAGAGAGTATTTACAAGTCTTATATCAATATAAAATTAAAAGCCAGAATTTCTATTTGCAAGTTATGCTTCCGGCAAAATTACGTGATAATGAATATATATCTATTCATGTATTAAACATGGAAGCAGTGCAAAATCTTAGCTAAGTACATCACATTGATAGAAAAAGCAGCTAACTTTAAAAGGAAAAAAACACGATTCACCGGATACTTGTAAGTATAACACTTGTAAAACGTTGAAAATTGTCTAGCTATTCATATCAAATTTATATCAAATCAACCTAGTTGAAATATGTGTATTATGCACTTTCTTTCACCTTAGATTTATTTTGTAAGCAATTGTGCATATTTTTGACAATTTTATGAAAGATTAAAAAAAACCTATAGATAATGTTTGCTTGAAAATATGTCTCAAAAAATACCACTAATGTCGAAGGCATTTCGTGCATCACACAAGCCAACGCCGTTTTGAGAAAAAGTTAATAGATGAAACTTGCTTGTCGACCACTTTCTTACAATTGTCGGGTAAATCCATTTTTTCCCCATAGGAATTAAATATATTACTGATTGTTGTTTGGTGTACCTGCACTTGTGAATTGGCCAAATATTGTACTGACCACTGTGACAGTCTTTCTAGCTATTATAGACTGCTACATATCTGTTGTATAAATATATGTGATTTCCATGTTTGATGTATTGGTGACGGTTTTGCCCTTAAGGTAACCAACCCAAAAGTTTCCAATGTATGGTTCGAGTTTATTTTTGAAGTGTTTGTTGTAATGTAGGAGCGATTGTATGGTAGTCCTTAATTATCACAACAGCTAGTCTTAAGTGCGAATTTGAAAATAAACCAATTGATGCCAGTAAATAAAAAGACAAAGACGAATAATAAAATCAATGACCTAATGAGGGTAAAACTGGCTGTAACGATAATTGGAGAATACTACGCAATCGCTCCTGCATTACAACAAACACTTCAAAGTTAAATCGACGACCCATAGTTTGTAAATTGTGTTTTGGTTCTCAAGGGCAAAAACGTCACCATTACATCAAACATTAAAATACAAAATGTAATTGAAATGTTTTGATCCATTACACATTACATCCCATTACTTTGAAAAAATGTAATGATTACAATGCATTACCATTATACATTTTCATTATCCCCAGGCGTGGTGCATATGTGTTTTATAAGTCTCAGATGCTCTGAATAGGAGTTTAAAATGAGGCAGGCTATTGAGGAATAAGTTTGTGTTAAAGGGATTTCAACAATCTCGTTTAAAGTCATCATTTCATAGATTCTGTGGTCATTATAATGACCACTTAGCAAAAACAACCTTTTATTGGGTCATATTTTGACTGATATCATTCACCAATTTTGTAATTATACTAAATTTGTCGACAGATTAATCCGTATACCTGATCAATTCATAGGGCTCATAGCGAATGAGACCGGTCGAAAGAGGATATTTTCTCGTCCTTGGCACCTGATCTCTTTAATTTTCAGGAGCTGTAGGCCCTGTTCACAGATTTGTATCGTTTGTAGGTTTTTTGAAATCGATCACTGTTCGTTATTTTCACCTATTTAATATTAACCCAAAATTGTCAAAAATGATTTTCTGCAGAGAATTAGTTGTTGTATATCTGTTCAGAGTAAGGACATTTTTTTATTTCCCAAGTTTACGCATTTTGTAAACAACAGCTTGTAAAATTGATTTTTGTATAAAAAGCAAACAAACAAACAAACAAAACACACACACACACCCTCACACACACACACACACACACAGCTTATTTCTTTTCTTTATTATAGACTTTTCAGACTTATGATAACAATTATTAAATACTTCATGTTTAAAACATTTTTGGATGTATTTCCTATTTTTTCTCTAATAATATTAATGTTGCAAAAGGGTTCTTCGAAATAAACAAAACCGATGCAAGGAATAATGTATACACTGTACTTATTTAATTTAAATGTGTTCTTATTTTAATGAAATCAGGAAAAGAAATGAAGAATAAAGTTTTAACTGAATTTGAGACATTACTATTTTTCAGTAATCATGGTGATAACACCAATACTTGAAACTATCCTGACCTGTAGTACGTGTAACTTTTAAGTTTTTTTTTACTTATAGCTTAATACAGACAGACAATGGACGCCATAATAATGGAAAACCTTTTCTATACGCTAATAAATCAATAAATTTACTTTAAAAACACCATGGTTTTCCTAGAAGCATCAATGCATTTCAGGAAAAAGTATTCATACTATCAGGGATTATCATTTTACATTTATTGTATCAAAAAGAAACGCTAAGAACATGAATTATTATAATATTTTATATGTATATCTTATCATGTCTCTAGAAAGGCATCGAATTGATTGTGAATTCTATCAAGGAATGGTGTTCGGCAGATTTACTTTTATCTTATCAAGATTAATCTTTAGAGTACATTCCAGTGGATTCAAAGGGAAAATAAGCATGGATACAGTACATTCATTCTTTGTTTTATTAATCTCGGCAGTTGGTATGTTATTGATTTGCATCGGGATCAAATTTTATTTTAACTGAATAATTTTTTTTTATCTGATTGAAAGTAAGGTTGAATATTATGGAAAATAATGAAGGAATTGCGGAATAATTGATCACAAGAAACATATATATATATATATATATATATATATATATATATATATATATATATATATATATATATATATATATATATATATATATATATATATATATATATATATATATATATATATATATATATATATTTTCTAAAAGTATTGATTGCTTTTGGTTTTTACATATAAATGTATATGTTAGATAAATTTTTAATATGCACATATTCCACAAAAAGCCCTATTTACTGTGTTGCTATCATCACTTTATATAAAGTGTGTTTTGAGAAAAATCTTTAAATAAAATCTCGTAGTGAAGAATCAGGTTTGTTCATCATGTCACTGGGGCTAGGTTAGGACACGAGGGCTAAATCCTAATGTAGAACATGTAATATATAGCAGAAGTCTTTAAAAAATCGTCCTCTCAAGAACAGTAGATATGCAAATGTCCTCATTTAGAGTCTCTTCGATGTGGAAGAAATAATGTCCCATGAGTTAGGTGGGGCTATAATTGGGGAACAAAATTTAAGCCATAGACTTCAATAGGTACTTAATCGCAATAAGGGTTTCATTTAATCACATCTACTCATTTGTTAGAAAGATATGATAAATCAGGGAGGGTGATTGTAAGGACGTTGTACCCTTGCGTATATTCCTATCGGTTGTATTTAAGAGCTTTACAGATTCATTTTGTTTCTACTTGGTACATGTAGATCCGACACTTTAGGCAGTGTGGTTTGCTTTATTGAGAAGTATACTAAAAACTTATCAGTGCTGTCCAAGAAATACTTCTTGTTTGGAATATTTTCCTTTGTAGAAATCGCAAAATTCAACAAATGCATACCGTAAATCTGGAATTTTTTGCTGTAGATAAATTTTTAGCAAATTTGCGCATGCATTGCATTCGCAAAAATATTTTTCTTAAAAATAAATCAACAACAAAAAATGTTTTTATCTAAAGATTACTTAAAGATTACATAATTATATATATTTTATGTACATGTGTGATTTATGAAAATGTTATGAAAACTTTCAACACGTTGGATGATTTATCTTTTCTAATATTTTTATCTGATTATTGAACGTTGGCGTAGTTTAATATTGTATGTTTATTCGTAATTTATTGTATGTACATGCGTAACTTACAAACGTTTAAGAGAATTTTAAGAGCTTTTTATATTTTAGTTCAAATGACGATTCGCAAAAATTTTAAACGTAAAAATTAATCAATAGACTTTTGACCCAGATTCGCAAAAATAAATCGACGTAAAAATTTCCAGATGTACGGTAATTATACAAATAGCCAGATCTCTTGGGATCTTTCAACAGGTAATTACGAAAATCATGCCATGCTGAGAATAGACTAAACTTGCTGATATTGTGACTTTTAATATATTTTCATTTTTGACATATTTTTTTGATCGAAATCAGACGCTTGTGTCCAGTTGTATATACAAATGTGCTCTTTAAAGATTAATTTCCAGGTCTCTCTGACCCTTCCTATACAATATATTTTAGTTTGAATAAAGTCAGTTTGAATAAAGAGGTGTACGATATTTCTATTCCCCAAAACTTCTGCTATTTTGCGTACCTGCCACTGCTTTTTTTCATGAAATTTACATTACCATATTGCCACTTTTGACGTCATCATATTTTATTTTCATAGACTAACTATTTCATGACAACGGTAAGATCATCATGCAAATTGTCATTTACCACTTGAGCAAACTGTTTGGTCACATCATAAAACCAAATAACAAGAGAGTTATTCCTTCAATAAAATAAAAAAGTACAATATGCATGATACAATAATAGTAAAACAATGCACACTTATAAATAGACAATATTAATGCAGCACTGCATAAAACGGACGTATGAAAATTCCGTGTAATCGAAGACGGATACAAAATAACACCCAGGTTGTGGTAAACTGTTCAATATGCTTATTTGAAAGTTATCGATCAATCAAAGTCGAAATCATCGTCACTGATAAATTGTGACATGTAGTGCATAGGAACAATTAATATTATAATTTCTTTTTCAGTGTGTTTTATATCATGTACTTTTGTCAACGTTCCCCGTGAGCCTAATATGGGAACTGCTTGGGCCTATAACTATGACCCCCAAAAGGTAGATTGTAATATATATATATGATATATTTACTTTCAACATTCATTTGATTTCAATACAAAAGAGAAATCACATACAGAATTGTCTTTTTGAAGATTTTTTTGAAATGCTTTGGTTGTTATAAAAAATTTGTGAAATAATTTTAAAAGCATGTTTGTCAATCCACAATGCATACTTGTGTATTTGTTTTATGGTTACTCTTCATGGCACCTGATCCAACATCTGATGCTTTTAAAGGTCTGTGTTTCCTCTGCTCCCGATGTGTATTGTATCGATGGACTTTTGAGCTTGATTACTGTTTGTTAGTTCCATATTTCATTACATCATATCAAATTAGTTCGGAATACGAAGGGTTGAATACGAAAACGATATCCCATGACCAATATGCTCTGCAAAGAAAAAAATCAGGATAAAATAAACAATGAATAAGTATTGTTTGACAGGGTATGCTCGCTATGAGAAACAACTATCGTGTGTCGCCAAACGATACCTGTCACGTGTACAAGTTAACGGATCAGCAAAGGCATGATATTCACACCATTGCTGGTGAATTCAAAATTGAGGTAATGTTTTCCAGTTCATCAATAGAGATTCATCCCATTCAATTAAGTTTTATTTTGACTTTTTCAGTACAGTGATATTAAGTAACTTCATTGTTTATTGTTTAGCATTCAAACAGAAGTTGAAACTCTGTCCTTTTTTTTTGTAGATAATGATGTATGAAGCAATTATAACAAAACATGGAGAGCATATGACCGCACAAGAATTGAATAGAACTAGCTATCGCCTCTGGAGCTTTTGCAAAAAACAACTTTACTTTATGAAGTATAATTTCTATTTGTAAAAAGATTAAACTTCCGATGATTAGTGTGTTTCTTTTATTTTTTATATTATCTTAATGAATGAAATTAATTCTCTTATGGATAAGTAATTTTGTCAAAATATGAAACATGATAAACGAGGTATTCATGATTTTTTATTTCACCGTTTTGCTTATTTTTTTTTTTTCTAAATTTGTTATTTATTCTCTTAAACACCCAATTTTATGTTAACGCCCCCAAATCTACCTAATTCAACATCAATAATATACCGCGTGTCCATCATCGAAAAAACAATAGCTACTGATTTGATTGACAGGCCAGCTACCCGTGCTACCAGAACCTGATAATCTGAATTTGCATGTTTTGAAAATGATCGCCTGGTCACGCGTCAAACACTTTCATGTACCGCGTGAAAAGTCGCTTTGTATATACACTCAGGTTTAAAAAAAATCAAGTCGCTGTTGTATTGGTTGGTCATTTTATTGATATAATTAAGAGTAGATAATTAAACCTTGACTTCATGATATTTTTTTTTTCAATCTTTACTGCTGTTTGGTTCTATTTAAAAGCGATATGATGTCCATGTCCAAAATAAATGTAACTCTTTTTTAAAGAAAAACTAGCGGCTCGATCTTTTTCAATTACTGCCTGGGACTTGGATCAGGAGAGGAACGAAGTTCCCGTAGCAGCTAAGACCGATAATTCTTCCGAGCCCCTTCAACCTTCGTCTAGATTTTAGTAATCACCGTAATGCCCCTGTCGACCCTGCATTTCGGTGCACAGAAACTCAATGCGAAGCCTGCCAGTTAAAATCATGACAAAATGAAATAGAATGTATAAGAAAAATATTTAGCATTAACGGCATGAATTACAAAATATTCCATTATAACATGCTTTATCTTTGCATATATATGAATAGGAATAGTGATCGATCTTAATTAAAGTCTTACAAACAGTACAAATCTGTGAACAAGGACCTACGGAAATGCTGAAAATTTTGGACAAAATTGTTGGCACCGGGAGAAAAAATAAATACATTCATCCGATTGTGGTATATATATATTAATCCGGATAAATTTGATAAATGGGATTTTTTTTGCAATGTTCATACTTATTTAATAAATTTTATATTAAAGTTTTCTTTTTTGCTCAAAATTAGAAGCGAAACGCGTAATGTCGACCCTGATTACCACAGACAGACTTCCTGTGTAATTTAACGTGTATAGGGATTTTGAAACTTTGAGTAGTGGGGGTCTCCAGGTAAAAAACACAAGTACTTCCAAGACCACTCCCCCTCCTCAGGTAACCATACGGTAAAAAAAAAAGTGGGTAGCTAATTGCACGTCCTTTCATTAGTTACTGGTCTCTTTACATAAAAACAGACTTTTATTGAAAAAAACTTAAGAAAGAAGAAGAAAGAAAATTTTAACTTAATGAAGAAGAAGAGAGAAAATTTTCATAAATTATTAAATATCGCCCACGTGTGACTTCCTACATGCAAATGCAATTAATGTATGTCGGCATGGAACTTACTTATTTCGAAATGCAATTTATTTATGTGGACATCCTATTTTTTAATGTCGAAATGCAACATTATTAGCCCTAAGTATGCCTCATACCCGAGTATTCAGTTAGAAATTGACCTAGAGATACAATTCACTTACATGTCAATGTTTTTTACCCGAGGAAATGTAATATTTAACCAGATAAACATTTTGGCATCCAAGGATCAAAATAGTTGAAATTATAAAACTAATAATCATTTAGGTTTTAATTTTTCAATTCCGTGTTAAATTAAATTTTTGCATAAATTCAGCTCATGAAAAGGTTTTTAATAGCTCCAAGATACTGCGTTCGTTTTTGAAATTAGCTGTTTAATTTTTTAACATTAATTCATCCAGTTTTTTAGAGTGGTAGGAATGCTTGTGCTAGAAGATTTATTTCAAGTCTCTCTTTCTTGGTTATTTCATGTACTCAGTATTCTAAATTTGGGAATGAAGTCAAATTGGGCTCACACCATAGTGTATAAAATATCTGTTCACACAGTCTTCTGCTTCACCATTTGGCGTACTTCTTAATTTTTACTTTCTTTTTCTGAAATTTATAGCATTAAATCACCATAAACGACGTCATTTTATCCGACATACATGAAATTATCGAAGAACAATGATAGTGTCGGCCTATTTTATCTTTAGAGTATCGTAAATAACTAAAAGATCATCTAATAACTTTTTATTTTAAGTGTTTTCCAGTTGCAATGTGCCGACAATCAACCCTCATCTTCATTTAAATTCGTTTTTCTCCAAGTACATGCAATTGTTGGAATGTTTCATATTTAAAAATCAAGGAAAAGATCGTATTTAAACATTTATAAATTGTTTTTCTTGGTTCAATACTGTAGATTATTTACTTAACGCGAAATAACCAGTAGACTCCGAATGGCGAGAACATGAATTTGCTAGTGGACTATTAATCAAGAGAGTATTTACAAGTCTTATAACAATATAAAATTAAAGGCCAGAATTTCTATTTGCAGGCGATGCTCCGGCAAATTTACGCGATAATAAATATATAACTATTAAAGTATTAAACATGGAAGCAGTGCAAAATCTTAGCTAAGTACATAACATTGATAGAAAAAGCAGCTTACTTTAAAAGGAAAAAACACGATTCACCCGATACATGTAAGTGTAGCACTTGTAAATCGTTGAAAATTGTCTAGCTATTTATATCAAATTCATATCAAATCAACCTAGATGAAATATGTGTATCATGCACTTTCTTTCCCTTTAAATATATTTTGTTAGTAATTGTGCATATTTTTGACAATTTTCTGAAAGATAAAACTATAGATAAGTCTTGTTAGAAAATATATCATAAAGAATTACCACTAATTTTGTAGGCATTTCGTGCATTACACAAGCCGACACCGTTTTGAGAAAAAAGTTAATAGATGAAACTTGCTTGACGACCACACTCTTTCAATTGCTGGGTAAATCAATTGTTTTTTTCTTTTCATACGAATTAAATATATTACTGATTGTTGTTTGGTGTACCCACTTGTGAATTGGCCAAATATTGTACTGACCACTGTGACAGTCTTTCTAGCTATTATAGACTGCTACATATCTGTTGTATAAATATATGTGAATTGCAATGTTTGATGTATTGTTGACGTTTTTGCCCTTAAGGTAACCACCCACAAGTTTCCAATGTATGGTTCGAGTTTATTTTTGAAGTGTTTGTTGTAATGTAGGAGCGATTATCAATTATCATCACAGCTGGTTTTAAGTGCAAATAAAAAAAAAACAGAACAATAAACTGATGCCTGTAAATGAAAAAACAAAGACGAAAAATAGAATCTATGACTTATTGATGGTAAAACTGGCTGTAATGATAAGTGGAGACTACCACACAGTCGCTCCTGCATTACAACGAACACTTCAAAGTTAACTTGACGACCCATGTTTGTAAATTGTTTTGGGTTCTCAAGGGCAAAAACGTAACCATTATATCAAACATTGCAAACCCATAAAATCATAAACAGATATGCAACGGTTTATAATGACCAGTAAGACTATGGACAGTATGATATTTGGCCGATTAACAAGTGCACATCCGCAGTACAACAATCAGTATTATATCAATTGTATGAAGTCAACAAATTATCAATTCAATTTGCTGTGGCCTTCAATTTAACATTTAGATATATCTACGACGTTCTATCAACTTACAATATTCATTTTCATTTCTACGTTGATTCGATATATCCCTTTGAACCCGAAATAGAAGACAATACAGAGTCTGGCACATCTGTTTCATATTTGGATATTTAGCCAGTAAAAGACCTTAATGGCGAACTTACGACAAAATTTATGATGAACGTGATGACTTCAACTTTTCTATCGTCCACTTTCCTTATCTATGTAGCAACATGCCATTATAAACTGCAGATGGAGTTGTTGTCTCTCAGTTGATTCGATACGCAAGAGCATGCTCTACGTACGAGCAAGCTATTGACAAATAAGTTGATGATACAAGGATATCAACAGTGTCTCTTAAAGTCAACATTTCGCAAATTCTATGGTCGATACAATGACCATGTTAGCAACTAACAATCTATAGTTATGACGAATGCTGACTGACGTTTTTCATACAAATTGTTAGTCCATTATTTTCAAATAAAATAGTCTACGGATTTCTCCGTTTGCCCGATATCATGATTAGGAGCACACGGCAGGTGTGACCGGGGAGGGGGGAGATATCCACGAATGCGGTATGTGAAAAACATAACATAAAAAACTGCTTGCAAACATCTGGAGAAGACTCCGCTGATTGTTAGCGAAAGCATTCGCAATTAAGTTTATTTTTTGTTTGAAATATGCTGAATCTTTTACTGAATGCATCAAGCGTGAGAGACCTAATAGGTGACAATAATGTATGCGTCATACTAGAATTTAAAATTGAGAAAGTGGCATGTTATCTATGAAAAGTGTAATTCTTTGTTTTGTAATCCCTCCCCGTAAAATCCATGAGTGAAAAGGATATGCCCATCTTTAGAATTAGCATTTACATTGTTAGTTTCTCTTACCTAAAGGACCCCTAAAATGACAAAGTTGTCAATCATAGTTTGATATTTGCTATCCTCCTATGCAAAGTGATTTTGAGTATAATTAGCAAAACTACTGCCTAATTATAACTAGGCTCTGGCCAAAAGCACGACCTTCTCAAAACTGACTGAACCACCGATATAAAAACCGTTGTAAAAATAGGAAGGTTCACCAAGACCTAAAAAATTTTGAAAAATTTAAAATGTGCAATTTCAGTGGAACGCAATTTGAATATTAAATGGAAACATATAAAATTAGGGATGTCAACGAATATTGGAACATTCGAATATTCATTCGATGAGTTGATATTCGAATATAAATTTGAGATTCCAATATTCGGTGTTTTACAGATTTCGTAAAAAGAAATAGTGTTTAACAAATTTTGATAAAATAAAAACCTTCTTAGAATGTCTAAAAGACGTGAAGAGTATACTGAACAAAATATATTGATCGTTGAATGAGTGTCTGATAGAATTAGTCTGTAACTGATATTGTAAAGGGCTCAATTTCTGAATAAATGTGTAAATTACTTGATTATATCGGGTTGTACATAATCCTGAATTTTATATTCATTATCGTTAAATTAATTAATTACCTAGGAAAATTGTCTATGGAAATATTTGTTTATATTTTAAAAGTATTTTATCCAATATTTAATCATATCTCTAATTAGACTGATAATTAATTACACGTATTGAAATCTAAACAGTATACGACTATCCTGCCTTTGGTAAGACGATTGGTTCCTCAGTTAGAGCTACTATTAATTTATCAAATTATTAAATTTGTTAAAATCATATTTTTCTACAATTAAATCAGTTATTTATTTCACACATTGACAAATATCAAATGGAATTTCTTATTGTACATCTACAAAAGCCTTCACACAATTTTACTCTAATATAAGAATACCTACGCTAAACCTTTCATGAGAGTAGGATCATGCATATTTAAGATAAACCAGATTTCATTTATTCTATCGAATATTCGAATATATTCGAATACTTTCATTGAATATTCGAATATGAATTATTGACAAAATTGACATCCCTATAAAATACATATCTGATTTTCTCGCTTGTCTTTGTATTCAAATGTTATGAGTTGCATCGTTATACGCATTTCATGACATTTTTTTTTTAAAATGACCAATGTTTCAAGATTTATTTTTTAAATATTTCTAGAGCACAACCTCTGGTTCAAAATTTACAGAAATATTTGATATTAGGTATTTGATCTTAACAGGTATTCAGCATGCCTTATTTTATGAATTGACATATGTGGGGATATTTTGTTTTTTGTACTCTAGAAATATATTTTATTCTGTAAAATCATAGAAATTTGTATTTACTCAAAACCTGTTCGCCAAATCCCAAGAAGAAATATTTAAGTAATGAACGTATGAAATATCTTCTTTTGTATGAATGTTTGAAATCGGACATGAGGTGAAATTTTTCTTTAACAGAAATATTCTATGCATGAAGTGAACCTTGCTGTGTGAATATCTTTACTACATTGTGTGTGTGTGTGAGGGTGTGTGTGTGTGTGTTTTAAAAAGAGTAATTTCTTTCATCTTTCATTTACATCAACGAAACATAATAATTTATTGATGGGCAAGAATCAAGAGAAACTCATGCTAACATCATCAGGTGAAGATCTTGCAAATGAATTTTCAAGGTTCTTCATAGACAAAGTGACTTCCATCAGAGAGGCACTGAAACAAAAAAAAAAAAACAAAAAAAAAAAAACAAAAACAAAACAAAAAAAAAAAAAAAAAAAAAAAAAAAAGAAAAAAGAAAAAGAAAATAAGAAGACAGCTATTTAGACACAGATATTTATTACAATGGACCTCTGTTAACTGATTTTGAAAGTTCTGCAGAAGATGAATGAGATCCTTAATAATGAAGACACCTAATTAATTACGCGAACGAAATTCTATTCCCACAAAGATACTGAAAAAGTGCATGGATCCATTAATACCTCTTGTCACAGACATTGTTAATTCATCTCTCGATCAGGGAATTTTCCCGTTTGCTTGGAAGGAAGCCTTAGTTCTTCCACTTCTTAAGAAACCCGGACTTGATAGGGAAGTGGTGAAAAGCTATCGACCCATATCAAACTTGACTTTTATCTAAAAAATATGGAGAAATTATGGGTCGTAGGATTGATGCCAACTTGGATCCAATTTTCTTCGCGACCCACTTCAGTCGGCATATCGTCCCAGGGACTCCACGGAAACGGCCCTCATCAAGGTCCACAATGATATTGTGACAGCTCTGAACCAACAATCTTCAGCAGTCTTTTTGGATTTATCCGCTGCTTTTGATGTCACTGATCATAAGTTACTGTATCTTATGGATTCCGTGATAAGGCTCTTGAGTGGATCAAGTCTTACCTCAAAAAAAAAAAAGGGAAACAGTGTGCCACAATTGGATCTGTCCGATCAGATTCACGACATCTGTTTTTGGCGGCCCACAAGGATGTGTACTCGGGCCGAAAATGTACTGCCTTCTCTCCAAACCAATAGGAACCATATGCCATCGACATGGAATGAAAGATTACTGCTATGCAGATGAAACACAAATCTACATGATTATTAGACCACTGGAAAATTGGAACGATTATTTCTCTCGACTTGAAGCGTGCCTTAGCGACATTGGTTCATGGATGACATCGAACCTACTCAAACTGAATCAAGATAAGACCGAGTCAATAATCTTCACCACAAGGCAGCATCAGTAGGATCTACCAAAATTACAACTTAAAGTTGGTGATAATATCATTGAAAGCGTGCCATGTGTAAATAACTTAGGTGTCATTTTCGATCAACACCTTACTATGGAAAAACAGGTATCCTCTGTCGTGAAGTCATATCATTTCCAAATACTAAGTATGCAATATTGGACGTGTACGACGCTTTCTTACAAAAGAAGCCTGTAAGACCATGGTGAACGCCGTAATCACTACCAGATTGGACGAAGGAGTTTCAAAGAACACAGTAGAACGGATGCAAAGAGTCCAGAACTCTGCGGCTCATCTAGTTACAGGATCATCGAAACGGGAGCACATTAATCCTACTCTAGCAGATCTGCATTGGCTAACCGTTTATTTTCTGCAACAATGAAATATATGGAGATAACGAACAGTATTCAAGCTCAAAAGTCCAATAAACAATACAAAATAGGAGCAGAGCAAACACGGACCTCCAAACATCAGAGGTGGGATCAGGTGCCATGGAGGAATGAGCATCCCCTGCCGACCGGTCACACCCGCCGTGTGCTCCTTGTCATGATCGGGAAATAACGGAAAAATCCGTCGACAATTCAGTGTGTAAATAATGGCCTAACAATTAGTGTGAAAAACGTCAGTCAGCATTTGACCCAATGATAAATTGTATTTGCTGATAAGGTCATTGTATCGACCATAGAACTTACGAAATGATGACTTAAAACGAGACAGCTGATATTCTTGTTTCATCAACTTATTTGTCAATAATTTACCTCGTTTTAGAAATTGTTCATACGTAAAGCATGCTCTTGCGTATCGAATCAACTGAGAGATATAAACCCCGTATGCAGGTGATGAAGATATATTGCTGCATAAGTAAGGGAAGTTGACGATTGAAAAGTTAAAGTCATCACGTTTATCATAAAGCTTGGTTGTTAGATTACCATTAACGTCTTTTTCAAGTAAAATATCCAAATATGAAACAGATGTGTCAGACTCTGTGGTATCTTTTATCTCAAGTTCACAAGGATATATCGTATCGACGTAAGAATGGAAATAGCCATTGTTAATTGACAATACGTCGTCGATATATCTAAATGTCGAGTTGAAGACCACAGCAAGTGTTTTCTTCTTTTCGCGTACAAGATTTTGGACAAATTCTGCTTCATATGAATAGAAAAAAAGGTCTGCTAATAACGGGGCGCAATTGGTACCTATGGGAATTCCAATAGATTGTTGGAAGACCTGGTCTCCAAAAACCACATAGATATTGTCAATCAGAAACTCAAGCATCTTTTCAATGTCAACTTCAGAGTACTTGTGTGAACAATCAGAATGTTTTTTAACAAAATAATTTTGCAAATGACCAATGACAAGGTAAGTATATTTACGAGTTCCATTTTTATTGAAGGAGCAGCTGTCAATGATATAAAATATTGACATATGTCTACCAATCGTTACATGGGTAAACTCCATCTTACATCGAGGATCTTATAGTTGAATAAAAACCCGCCAGATCACTGCGATCTGAGTCAACATCGTGGTTAGTTAATTCAAAAATCACTACAAAGACATATGGCGAACGCCGGCTCAGTTGGACAGCAACACTTTTTTGGAACGGCCTTCCTAATGAAATAAGACAGGCTCTCCCTGGACATTTTTAAAAGACTTTAAAGACGCATTTTTATAGAATAGTTTTTAAATACTTGGCGCACAAATTTTAGCAACAAATCTCAAAAGAAGTTGTTATATTCACAGTTCTTTTTTTAATGACGTAATTGTAGTATGTAATTTTAGAATCTTAAAGTTATAATTTCTAACACACATATTATGTTAAATTAATTAATTTACGATAGTTCTTAAATTATGTTTATATGCGTTTTATTGTACAGCGCTTTAGAGTAATTTTTAATAATATTTAGTGCTTTATGAATTTATTTGTTTTTATTTTATTATTATATCTACACAATCGAAAGGTTTTCAATTACTTTTTTGAAATAAAAAAATGGATCCTTCATGATTAACGGACTCTCAGCATGTACTAAGAGATGGGAAAGTTCACCGCTTATCTAAGTCCATTTGGCTTAATAGCGCACAAAGAACAAAACGTGACTAGGAAACATGGACGCCACATATCCGTTGTTTTGTTTGTGTATTTCCTCTTTGGGTAGGGACGTTTTGAGATTTACAATAACTTTTATTATGTTAGGAGAAAGTATACTAATAAAAAGCTATATGAAAATCTTCCTTTCAGTGTGCATGCTATCCTGTGCATTTGTACACGTGACAAAAGAACCATTTTTATCTGTGGCATGGCAATACAAATACGATCCAACTACGGTATGTTATTGAAATAATTTCAGACATAATTTGTTGTGCCAAATTTCTTAATGCAAACTATAGTCCTTTAAATGTTGTAGTCTCTGTGAAAATGTTAAATGAAAGTTATTTAGTTAATATTCGCGGATTTTTAGGGTATTGCCGCAATGAAAAATAGCTACAGACCAACTCCAAACGACACTTGTCATGTGTACAAATTAACAGACGACCAGAGACACGAGATACATACAATGGCTGGGGAGTTCAAAATAGAGGTATTGGCATGATAAACAGTTTTCATGTATTTGAAGTTATGAAATATAGTTCTGTTTAGGCTTAATGCTAGCACATTTTCTTTTAATCTTCGATATTGGTTACAAATTTTCTTTCAAAAACTATTAAATTAAAGGATTAAATAAAAGGATTAAATAGTAAACATTATTTTAAGTTCGTCATTCTATTCTTAGATAATGATGTATCAAGCGGTTTTGACTCAGCATGGAGAACCGATGACACCACAAGAATTGAACAAAACAAGTTTTTACATCTGGAAATACTGCTCACACCAACTAAACTTTATCAAATATAATTTTTATACATGAATCAACTAAAATAGTAAAAGAATATTTTAAAGGATTATTACATTATTACAATTGAAATAAGTGAAGATGACGAACTGTGATATAACTCATAAATCACATAAAAAATAACAATCAAGAACAAGACAAAAACACGGAGCCCGGGAAACACCAGAGGGGGATCAGGTGCCTATGAGGAGAAAACATTCCTTGTCAAGTTGTCTCTTCAATCGTGAGCACTTTGTATTGATCGGGTAAAAAGAGTAATCCGTAATCAAAGCTTGGTCTAAAAATAATGGTTTCACATTTAAAACATTTCAATCAATCAAATGAAGCCCACTCAGCAGAATGAAAGATAGACCCCAAAATATGAATTTCCTATTAGAAAGAGGGATAATTCTCTTTTTTTATATAACCTCACAAGCTGCCTGTTTGCAAAATATTTGATTGCATAGAAGAAATGATTTTTTATAAAGAGGCCAATGAGTCACAACAATCACCTGAGTCAAACTGGCTCCGCTTTTCTTGAAAAGATTCTTATTATTTTTTAAATTAATTTCACCAAAGTTCCTGAGTTTGCTAGAATATTCATGTGAACATGACAAAAACATAAAATTAAAAAAAAAACAAAACAAAACAAAAAAACAAAACAATTATTTCCTGTTTTTTTCTAATGAAAATATTTATAAACCCCTCCCCTCGGAGACTTGATTTAGATCTCTTGATCTGCTGATGATTCTTGCTTTTTAACATGAGCAGTCCCACAGGTAAGCATGCTGTTCCTTAAAGGAAAAACATCCCCTTTTATGGCCCACCCTACCCCAAGACTATCATTTGAGCAAATGTGAATCAGTACCCTACTGACTCTGTACTCATACATGCTTGTATATTAAAATGGCATTCCATCCATTAAAACAACGAAAGCGAGAGACCAAATTTCTTTGAATTTACTTGTTTGAATATATGCCTGAAATTTAATTTATTTTCTATATATTCCTTTGAAAAAAAATTGATCACCATTTTTTGATGCAACTCTACCCGGGGTCATGATTTGTACAAATTTGAATCTGCACTACCTGAGGATACCTGCTTATTAATATCACTTACCATTGCATGTTGTTCTTAAGAAGAAGAATTTTAAAGATTTCATGTATATATTTCTGTGTAAAACTTTGATCCTCTGCCTACCCCCTGTCTACCCCTGGCATAACGATCTTTTAAAAAAAATCTTTATAAATTTTCTTGAGAAAGACCAGGTCATAATTAGTCATATTTTGAAAGAAATTCCAGGTAGTGCAGATGAATGTTTATTGAAATCATGGCTCGTAGGGTAGAGTGGGGCCATGATTAAGGGATCAATTTTTTTTTTAAAAATGGGAATATGTTGAAAAATAATTGTAAAAAAAAAAATCCTCCTTTCCAAGAAATTGAAGCCTACGACTAGGCATATTAATATGCAAGTTGCACCATATGTTGCAGATTCAAGTTTGTTCAAATACTGATCCCAAGGGATAGTTTGGCTCCACTAATAGGATCATACTTTTACATTGGAATATATAATAAAATAATGTTTTCAGGAGTAGTAATGTTATACAAAACCATACATGTATTTATATGCAAAATTTTCTAAACCTTTATCATAATTATACTACTAAGGTTTAGATTTCTGTTCTAGACATATTTTACAAAATTGTCTAATAAAAGTCTGTAAGGTTGGTGAGTTCTCACAATCCTCAGGTAAATTATTACATATAGTTTTTTTAGATGATAGAAAGCTTTTTTAGTAAGATTTTACATAAAGCATTCAGAAAGTAATTTCAAACTGATAATGTTAATTGATCGGTCTTTTTTCTCCTCTTCCCCTTTAATCTTCATTTTACTTTAATAGCCTTAGAATGCTAGCAAATTGCTTCAGATATGGCAGCAGTTAATTATCAAAATTCAGGCACATATGGACTTGGACAAACTTCCATCAAGAGTTGTATAAACAATGTGACGCGTTCTGAAAAAGAAGTAAATTTACTTTAATCAACAAGAATGTTGAACACATCCACGTATATTTAATCTTTATGCAAATCATGTATGCATAAAGATCTATATCTGATAAAAGGACGAACATTAATATGGATCATAAAACAACAATTCAAAAAATGAGTCTGTATATTTTTAAGGTTCATTTAGTCGACTGAAAATTGGACATTTCCTGCTCGGTTTGTATCATATTGATAAGTATTTTTTCCTAATTGGGTCGTATTATTTGTAAACCTTCTTCTTACTGTAACTCACGCAACAAGATTTTAATTTGATTGAGTTAGCTGATCTTGATCTCATGCCCGACGAAACCGAAGGGGGGGGGGGTATTATGCCAATCTATACCTTCCAATATAATTCAAAGCTAATTTACAGTTTTGCTTCCTTTAAAATAACGACTGGCGACCTTATTTTACCTTTCAAGAATTTATTTTGCCACCCCACCCCCCACCCCCCCCCCCCAACCACACACAAAGAAAACCCAGAAATTGCTTCCCACGGACCTGTATTTTGACAAATATAACAAAAGAGATCAAAACAAATTTTCATCAGATTGATTTTTGTTCACACTTACTAAAACACCCTTTATTATTTTTGAAGCGAATAAATGGTAGATAAAGGAAAAGTCCGCCCACAATGAAAAGAAATGCATAGAGGAACTCTAGTCTTGGATCTTGTATGATCGGAGCCACCACCAAGTACAATGAACACAGCAAGAAAACGACTGGAAAGAGGATAAAGATCTACAAAAGAAAAATAATAAATCATGACCTGAATTTTGTAATTTTAGTGTAAAAGGTGAAGATAACAAACAGAGATCAATCTCATAAATCCAGGAAACAAAACTAAGTGTGAACAGGGCAAAAACACGGACCCCTGGAAACACAAGAGGTGGGATCAGTTGCCTATGAGGGGTAAATATCCTCTGTCGATCGGTCACTCCCGCCGTGAGCCCTAGGTATTGATCGAGTACATGGACTACTCCATAGCCTTTGGTATAAAATCAATGACCTAACAAATGGTATGAAACATATCAGACAAACTTCAACCCAACGACAGGTTGCATTTGCAAACAAGGTCATTAACCAAAGAATTTATAGGAAGCTGACTTTAAACGAGATTGTTGAAATTCTTATTATATCAACTTTGTCAGTAGCTTTCCTAGGTTAAAATTTGATCATAGGCGTCGGAAGCAAATTGAAAGTGGGGTGGCTAATTGAAAGTGGGGGGGGGGGGGCTAAACCAACGGAAAATGGTAAGCCCCAGTTTTCAATGCCTATATTTTGTCTATCTTTGAAGAAAAGTTGGGGACTAAGCCCCTCTAGCCCCCTCCCCACCGGTTCCGACGCCTATGTTGATCGTATTTGGAGCATGCTCTAGCGTATTGAATGTTGGGAGACATAGTATTCGACACAAACTTGTTTAATTGAATGTGTCTAGTGCTAAAATTTTTAGTAATGATTTGCTACAAACTTACCATTAACAATCATTATTTATTAAAAATAGTTTCTTTGATAGCTAAGTGTTTCTTACTGAAATCTTCAACATCAAAAATTTAATATTGCATGTTTTTGAAATAGACAATGTTTAACTTTCAAAATTCTGTCTCGAATAATGGGATAATATACATGTATTTTATCCATACGCGTAAACCCTTTATCTTGGCAGCTTAAAGAATCGGCATATAAAAGCGGGTTTTCTTAACATTTCTTTATTCATCTTTTAATAAATATTTTTTTTAATACTTTTAAATGTATTTGAATATGTTATAAAACTGAATCAAATTTTACTTAAACATGAAGTCGCCCGCGTGGCGTAGTGTTAGAACTTTTCTCTAGATTCGTACAGTAAGGAACTGATCCTTTCGTCGCGGGTTCGAATCCCATTGTCGGACGTTAGAGACCGTTCCTTCTGATTAGACCGTATAAACCGAGGTCCCGTCTCGCAGTAGGTGCTGGCACGAAAAAGATCCCTCACTGCTCAATGGCCCTAAGTGTCGAGTAAAGGTCTAAAATTTGCAACCCTCCACTGGCAGGTGGCATCTCAATATGAGTGAAAAATTCTCGAAAGGGACGTTAAACAAACAAACAAACAAAACTTAAACATGAAAACAAGAGACCCGTGTGTTACAACGTTTCACCTGAATCATCATGGCCAGGCAGTTATTCAGATTTGAAGGAAGCTCTAAACGCTGCACACTAAAGCGTTCTATGTGTAGGGTACTTTTATTCAGTTAGAGTGATCTGCCCTTACAAGAAAAATAGAATAAACAAATGGAAATCTACTGTTAATGCCACAATTTGTAACAAATCAAAGTATTCTTAATGTTAGACCTAGAATAAGTAATTGAATACATCATTTCCACTACTTTTCTCAATGTAAGTAAACAACAGTGATTTCTGTTCACAAATAGTTCATTGTTTTTGATTTTTTTTCCCTGGAGAAATAAAGCAGGTACCCTATGTTGAAAATGAAACAGATACACTGAATATATTCACTTTTATACGATATAAGTTACTCAGAGTCCAAAATACATTTTTCATTAGTGTTTAGAGCTTCCTTTAAAAGATTTTCCTATCTTTATTCCCATGAATCTTTTTGATCCTATGATGTGGCCGCTTCCTAGTCCCAAGTTGACATGGCATAACAGAACTTTAATCCATACGACATGGGGTTGCCTCAATACCAATATGACTAATGTGACCCGTTTGTTCTGGAGAAGATTTTTTATAGATTATTTTGTATACATGCATAATGTGAAATTTGATCCCCAAATTAAGCCCAACCCTAACAAAAGGGTTCTTTATTTGAATGAAAAATTTGAAACAACACAAATGGAAAATGTTTGCTTCCTACATGTAATATGATTTAATATGGCCCTGTCACTCTAGAAAAGATTTTTTATTTGTGTCCAATACATTTAGATTTAAAATTTTGATCCTCTATTGTGGTCCCACCCTGACCACAGAGGCCGTGATTTAAACAAACTTTATTCTGCACTACTTGATGTTGCTTGCATATTAATATTACTAATTGCTCTCCTGTTGTTCTTGCAAAGATATTTTAAAATTAGTCCTCTTTATTCCCATATAAAACGTTGATCCCTTATGTAGCCCGATCCTTTCTCACGAGGCCATGATTTGAACAAACGTCAATCTAGATTACCTGAGGATGCTTGCATATTGATTACCTAATCATGACCCTGTTCTTCTTGAGTAGACGATTTTTCTCTATATATTCCTTCATAAAATTCTGATTCACAATAGTGACCCCAATCTATCCCAGGGGGTATGATTTGAACAAATTTGATTATGCACATGATGATGCGTTCAAATTATTATGATTAATAGTGCCTCTGTTGTTATTGAAAATATTTTTAAAGATTGTTTTCTTGATATTCTCAAGTTAAAATTTAATTCCTATTATGGTTCTGCTTTAACCCAGGAGCCATGATTTGAACAAACTTGATATCGTGCTATACCAGGAAGCTTTCATGTAAATTTCATCTTTTCTGGTCCAGTGGTTCTTCTTCAGAAGATTTATAAATCATCCGCCCTATTTTTGCCTTTCAAGATTAATTCCCTTGAAAGGAAGTTCATTTGAAGAGACTGATTGCCCTTTACCCAAGAATACTTTGTGCCAAGTTTGATTAAAATTGGCCCAGTGGTTCTTGAAAAGAAGATGAAAGGTCAAACTTAGATTTAGAAGCTCACTTGAGATTTATTAAGGTGAGTTAACAGTTAAGCAAAGTGAAACAATCAGAATATGCATGGTTTTCTCTCATATATGTGTCAAAATATTTGACATATATGTAAAATAATATTATGTTCATTATTTGCCTTCATTGGTCTTTTAGCATCCTTCCACTTGAACCTCAATATAATTAGAGATATAATAGCTAACGCATAAAACATCCAGGCAGCAAAACTAAAGAAGTCGATCAGGCTTCCAATATCTCCAGGAATTAACATCAGCAAGCCGATCACGGTCTGAAACGAAACAAGACTTTCAAATACATACACTTACATATACTGTATATATTTATTTAATCTTTCAAATAACATGGAAGGAAGACAGGCGATTTTAAAAATTAATTGACACCCTTTAAAAAGTATAAATTGAAAGAGATGGTATTCAGCAATATTTTAGATTATTAAATCTTCGAAAATATTTTTGAATCCAAATTTTTGTTTTTAGGTATGTCACAACATTACAAAAGGTAGGTCACAACATTCCAATAGGTATGTCACAACATTCCAATCGGAAGAACAAAATTAAGCTTTGCTCTTCAATTACTTTTCTGTATGTTATCAGGTACACAAATATCAAAACACGAACGTCTTTAGAAACAGACACAGTACTTGCATTGGGAAGACTGTATACATGAACTAGTTCGACTTCTCTAAGAGAAGACAAAAAAAATGAAATGATGAATAAATGGAACATTAATTTATTTTAAGGGGTTTAAGTAGGCATATGTATATGTTATCGATTTTATCAAATTTATCTTGAACACTATTTTATAACTTTTGGCAACCTATAACATTTTTCAACATCACATGATCAACAAATCAGATCATATTGATTGAAGTTTTCTTAGTACGGTTAGTCCAATTATTGTTATATTTCAAAAGAATCATTTTAACTAAAATCCTCATTTTCATAAATATTTATATAATGCATGCGTATTATTGATCAATTGAATTTCACTCAAGATAAAAAAAAAGGATAAATCCGTTGGCAAGTGAATTTACTTGACCAGTTTGCTCTCTCCAAGAGTTAAAGCAGATTTGCTTTATTTCACCCAACCTGGATAAATAAAAGGCAGAGGAGAAAAGGATTATACAGCTACAAAGAATCCCGGTATTTATACATCAGAAATAACATTTCTAAATTCTTCATCATTACTTTATTAATTTAAAAACAAAATTGCCATCTTCGACTGTAAATTCTATATTTTGAGTTAAAAAGAACTTACTATTTATCTTTTAACCATTTATATTTCCAATTTTAGAATTTCTTCAAGTTATTTTATTTTTATTATGTAAACTATAAATAGAATTGTTTGACCAATCGACACTATATTTTGATTGGTTACACATTTGTCCAGCCAATATACAACCACGACCAAGCAAACAACTTACATTGGATAACATGACGGTATACACGATTTCACCAACGGAAAAGTTCAATGCATTCGTCACTTGCCAGACATTATATAAGACATTACATAGCAAATGTATATATATATATATATATATATATATATATATATATATATATATATATATATATATATATATATATATATATATATATATATATATATATATATATATATATATATATATATATATATATATATACATTTGCTATGTTTTTCTACTAAGCCAACTGTGCAATTGATTTGAAGTTCATTTTTGTGTATACTCACGCGTAGAAATATACACGGTGAAACTCGCGGTAAAGTAACGTCACAATGAGGCTACAGAGACGTTAATAAAAAAGGTACGATATAGGGCAGCAAGAAATCAAATATTGAGCATAATATTGTTGCTTTTGAACTTCTAAAATGTAAATATAAGGAATGTTTTTCAGTTAAGTGTGAATTATTGGTGTGTAAATCACACAGACTTGCACGTAGGCATATTTTTCATGAAGCGCTAGCGCGCTCCATGAAATATGCCTACGTGACAAGTCTGTGTGATTTACACACCAATAACTCACACGAAACTTAAAAACATTCCTTAATATATATATATGCAACTATCAATCCAAAGAAAATCGTAATCAACCTAGGCCAAATCGAGGTCGCTGTCATATTTCTGGACTGATAAATCCTTCATATTCGAAGCAAAAGTCAGTCATTGTTTAATATTTACATTTCCAATAAATTTCCCCTATGATTCTTTACAAAATAGAATACAGTTCATTTTCTCATGAACTACCATGAATAGGCATGAATATCTCCATTGTTACGTCATAATACCTTACTTGACGTCAAAACTATAGTGCAAACTGTTTTGATTAAAAATGGACAGTTGAATGGCGTTATTTGTGGCAAATCATCAGAAAAAATAATGTAAATATAAGAAATGAATTAAATTTTTGAAAATTCATGAGGTACATGAACCACAACGCTTCACGCCGGCATATTCATCATGAAGCGCTAACGCGCTTCATGAAATATGCCGGCATGAAGCGTCGTAGCTCATGTCCTCATGAATCTTCAAAAATTAAATTCATTTCTTAATTATATGATATTTTCATTGATAAATGTCTCATAATATTTTGTTTATTGTACACGCTTGTATACCTCTCACATATAACCATTCCATATTGCATTTAAACAAGCAAAGCCCGAAGATTGATGTATTTGTTAGTCCCCTGCCGGTGAAACCGGAGGGGACTATAGGTTTCCTCTGAGTCCGTCCGTCCGTCTGTCTGTCTGTCTGTCCCACTTGGTTTTCCGCACTTTTTCCCTAAACGCTTGCAGATATTAAGCTGATTTTTGGTATTGAATGTATCTTGATGAGTTACAGATTAAGTTTACATTTCGTTCCGTTTCATTGATTTTTGACTGAATTAAGGCTTTTTCAATTTTTAGGGGTTTTCCGCAATTTTCTTCTAAATGCTTTCAGATATTGAGCTGATTTTTCATATCTGACTTTACCTTGATTAGTTAAAGATCAAGTTTGCATTTCGTCCCGCTTCATTGATTTTTGACGGAATTAAGACATTTTCAATTCTTAACTGGAACCAGATTACAGTTGCCGGTAGGGGACTAGTATTGCTTATGCTCTCAGAATGCCTTTTGTAATTGCTTGCGTTTTGGGATTAACATCCCTGTTTTGAATACCGTATTTCCCGCCATCTGGATTTTTGGTAGTCAACAACTTGTTTAATTGTCATTATGCCCAGTACTAAATTTAAGCTTCAACTGTTCAAGCTAATGCTGTTTACAGAATCTTCCCCTTAACATTTAAACTTATTGCATTTGCCACAATCTTCCCATACATGGTGAGCATCCTTCACCGAAGCTGTTGCTAAATTTGGCCATTATTCGCCTTTTATTTTTCTACCCCCCATGATTTTGTCTTCCAGGTATTTCACTCTCCTAACATGTTGCAACTGATTTCCATTTCAATTATAAGGTGTTTGACGAACAAAAAAAATTATAAAACAGATAAGGCACTTACAGAATTCATCATGACTCCATACAGTCGGAAGGCTTAAGTTATAAAAATACATTCTTGTACCGGATTTGAGCACACTTTTGTACTTGATTTCTTTAATAAAAAAAGCATGGTTTTTTATTCATGTATTTTTAAATTTTATGTATTTTCTTTAGACGTATGATTATTTTACTAGTGTTGAATTTACTCAGCGTTGTTGTTCTGCTTTACCGTGAATATAACACATGGCATTGGAGTTAGACGTCGCACACTAACGTATGATAGTACTTCTGGGAACTGTTTCTCCCTGCCTGCAGCGTATAATGTTCTGAAAAGTACAAACATACATTTTACAATCCCAGATAAACATACATTTACAGCGGTTTTTAACAATTTGTAAGGACAGATGATACAAAGAAAAGTGAATGCCTGGATTGATAAATATTTTTGGATTAGTTTGATGGTATATATGATGCTCATATCCAATTTCTAAAATATTAAGAAATTGTAAGCTGTCTATGATGTTCGAAATACTACGTTTTAGCGGTCACCCTTATTAATCTTTACAACTTTTCTTCACTTTATTGTTGTAAAATTCTGTATAAAAAAATTAAATATATCACGCTAAACATTCATTTTACTTATATAAACATGACTTTAGTTGTTATTTTCCTGATTTTTTGACGAAAGGTTGTTTGTATTATCTTTCCTCAAATACGATTTACACAAGTGGATTTATATATCCTCGTAGTATATTCTAAAGAAAATTATAATTATATGGAATTTCTACACTAAATATTATTTGTTAAAAGTATATTGAATCTGATAACTTGACTTTCACGAAGAGTTTCTCTATATTTATCTATGTGAGTGTGTGAGATATTTTACATGTATAATAGAGTCTGTTTCAGAAAGTTCAAAAGCATGTAATCCTTATATTATTACCAATCTACCATTTTTTGATAAAGAAAATTATTTCTTTTCATTAAATACGTGTACTATTATTATTATAGTAATTTGATTGAATTACCTGACGCCGGCAAAAAGTGTACCATTGGCAGCACCAAATGTTGAGCACATGACAAAGATGGGCATTACAATGGCAACTTGCTTACCAAGAACGATTTTAGCCCAGTCCTGTCAACACATATACAGTTACGAAGTTCATTAACATTAAATTATATATCACATTATACTACATGTATCTCATGAATAATGGTATATTCATATTGATAAGAGCATTCTATAGTAATTTGACAAAGTCATGTTTGACAAAGTAAAAGTAATATAGTCTGCACTCTTTGCTTTTTTTTTTTACTTTTAAGCTCTCAATGCTTAATTACCTTTTTAAACTAGAATGTTCTCATCTGAGTTTGATTAAAATGCGTCGACAATTTGCAAACAAAAGACACCTTTTAGGTACATTTTATTATCTGTTTTAAAATTTAAGATTTTACACAACGTTGTCTGCTGAATCTCCCAGAGAAGAGAAAATAAAAAGATAAAATACATTTTCCAAAATTCAATAAACATAGCCACATCTTGGAGATAAATCTATACCACAGGCACATCAATTTCACAATACATGTATTGGTAAAGGACTTCCTAATGCCCTGTTCACACGGAGAGTTTAATTCGCAATAAATTAATTATCATCATATACTATTATTATACACAGATATACAGGAATATGGAAGAAGATTTTTCAATAATACATTATCAGTGTTAGTGGACCTCAATATTGGACTCAGAGGACATAAATTCTGTATTTTGGAGATGAACTTACTCTTCTCATTGTGGTCATGCATACACACTCTCTATTTAATGTCCAGAAATAATTAATATTTATTTTTAAAAACAATACATTTACAATATAATAACGATCAACTCGATCGACATCTTAAAACCCAGGGGGTAAATTGGTGGTAAGGCCTTAAAATCTCATTATCATCATGAAAAACAATTTGTTTGTCCAAGATCTTTTTGAAAAAAAAACATGTCACTATAAAAATAAAGTTCCAATCCTTGAGATTGAACGTTTTGAGCCACAAAACATGCGTTTCACAATTTTTATTGTCTGTGTGCTGTTTCGTTAGACATCAATATTGTCTGTTACTTTTCAAGAGATAAACAAAAAAGTGTAAATGTATACATGATATAGTACATTTTCAATAATTGATCAACTTACAGCGTCTTGTAGTCTGTTTTTTTAGCGTAAAAAAAACTTCAAAAAGCTAAAATTGGTCTGCATTTCCAAAACCAGACTGTCTAAAATGCATTTTTAGAATACACTTTTAAAATCAACTATGATGTGCTAATTCAGGTTTATCTAAAGTGCTACTATGAGTAAAAAATTGATATTATATTCCTGCATCATAAGACCAAAGATATTGTTGAGGAGTGAAGCGTGGTCTCGTTTCTAATTGAATTAACTATATACATGTTAAAATTAAATTTCAATGCGTTTTTAGTAAAAGAAAAATCAGCCAAAGTTTAGAAATAATTAGATATATCAAACACTTACAATAAAATTTTAATTGTATAATAAAATAAGTGTATCTTAAAGAACCGGTCCCCAAACATACTTACATTAAAATATTGGTAAACGGTTTATTGTTTAAGCTCAACATGCACAGATGTAATAAAAAAGACTATTTAAGATTTCATGTCGACACTTGGGGACATATAATCATCATCTGTTGAAAACCTACAGAATGTTGTATTTATTTGTTGAGGACAACTAAAATAAATGCAAGAATGCCATGATCGGGTTTGGGTTTGTCACACCCTTGGAAAAGTGGAATATATATATATATATATATATATATATATATATATATATATATATATATATATATATATATATATATATATATATATATATATATATATATATATATATATATATATAGATTAAAAGCTGAAGAATTAAAAGTCGAATTAGATTAAATTACATGTAACTGTGTAACTGAGGAATTTTCACATTAAGATCACCAGTATCAACTGGAATTTTTTTTTTTTTTTTTTTTTATTTCTATATTCTTTTATTAATTAACTCACCACAGCAACTGCATGAGAATTGAGAAGTCCATCTTTTCCTAGTACAGCAAGATATGAAATGTTGGTCAAAACATAGACGAAAGTCACCAAAAGTACTCCAATGGTATTAGCACGGGGCAAATTTCTGTATGAAAACATGCCATATACGAAAACTTTGACTGGAAGTAAAGAAAGATATTTTTTTCTTACAAATAATTGCACATTTTTACCACTCTGACCCCAGACATCTTGATTCAAAGGACATAAAAAATGCAAGTTTTAACAAGCATTCTGAGAGTATTGCATTAGCAATACTAGTCCCCTACCGGCAAGTGTAATCTGGTTCCCGTTAAGAATTAAAAATGCCATAATTCCGTCAAAAATTAATGAAGCGGGACGAAATGCAAACTTGATGTTTAACTTATCAAGGTAAAGCTACATACCAAAAATCAGCTCAATATCTACAAGCGTTTAGAAGAAAATTGCGGAAAACCCTTAAAAATTGAAAAGGCCGTAATTCCGTCAAAAATCAATGAAGCGGATCGAAATGCAAACTTGATCTGTAACTCATCAAGATACACTCACATACCAAAAATCAGCTCAATATCTGCAAGCGTTTAAGAAAAAAGTGCGGAAAACCAAGTGGGACAGACAGACTGACAGACAGAGGGACAGACAGACAGACAGACAGACAGACAGACGGACAGACAGACAGACAGACAGACGGACAGACAGACTCAGAGGAAACCTATAGTCCCCTCCGGTTTCACCGGTAGGGGACTAATAACAGACAAAAAGAGATAGCAGTAGACTAGATCACGAATGTGTCTGAGGTGAATAAGTGATACAGTCAAACCTCGTTATCTCGAACTCATAGGACCGAGAGAAAATATTAAGATATCCTAAGATTCGAGATAACCAGGGTAAAATACTTAAAGATTAAGAGGTTAGGACTTCCAAATAACTGCGAAATCCACGGTAGGCGTTGGCAAAAATAAAAGACCCTCAAATGACCCCGATTGCCGAGTATAAATCTATATTTAAAAACCATCACCGGTATACATGTATCGTGTCTACTCTATATGAGTGGATAATTCTCTAATGGGACGTAAAACAGCATACAATCAATAAATCTAAATGAAAAGAAGTCTCTTGCTGTGGTTTTCAATTCGACATGTAGATATATTGACAATGTTTCATCAATTAACTACACTATCATTTAACTATATATTGTTTTTCATTCCTAAGTTTATTCGAAATACATGTTTTTCATAGAACTAGATATAAAAGACACTACAGAGTCTGACACATCTGTTTCATATATGGGTGTTTTACCATAGAAAATGGCAAACTGACACATAATTTTTATGATAAATGTTATGACTTCAATTTTCATACAAAAGTATATGTTCCCCCTCACTTCTGACTTAATATGACTAGGAAAGTCCTTTAACCCACTAGTACTTATTTAATAATTACTTTGATCTTCGGGTCAAGGCAAGGACATATAGGTGGAATTCTTTGCCAACCTTCCGAAATACAAACTCAATGTGGAATACAATCAATGAACTTAGTGGGTACAATGTTCTCCATTTTGAAAATAAGACCCTGACCCATTTTGTTCATAAATTGCCTCAAGCTCTCTTTGAGCATGCTGATCAAATTAAATTAATGTCACACAACTCTTAAATTTTGGTTTCAGAATTATATACTCTCTGGACACTGTTTTAGCTCGATAAATGAAAGTACGTATATACACTGTACCTTATGATATTGAGTTGAAAGTTAACAGATTTTTTTTTTTTTTTGCCAATTCCTGGAAAGATAAACATTTGAAAATTTTTTAACGTTTCCACTTACGTGTAAGGATTTTTTAGCTCCTCTGTAATGAAATTCAAATTATTCCTACAAAAAAAATATTTCAACGTAACATGAAAACAATGAAAAGGAATTAATTGACATAATTCTTATTGTGTATTAATGAAATTGGACCAATTTCAATGCAAATTTTGAGGCCAATTGAACTTCATAAGAACCTTATTTCCCGTTTTTCAATATATAGACATTAACATTGTCAAGAACATTTCTATGTTGTATACATGTATATGTCATGATATTAAAATAAGAATATGCACTGTACTACTGAAAGGTATTAAATTAAAATACGTCATCATCATTTCTCAGTTACATTGTATGAAATAATGAAGGCGTTCAATATTACATTCAATTTCATTACTATTATTTTTACAATTTGGCACGTAAGCCCGAATTGCTAAAAACAATATCAACTTGCTTTACAAATATTGCATTGATGAACAATGAGATAAAACTGGTCTATCACTCAGGGTAAGTTTCATTGACACTTTGATGAAATCAATAGGATATTATAAAATGAACACGGTATTTTAAGTCGTCTAAATATAAAGCTTCATGTATGATAATAAATAAACATTACCATCCATCGTAAGCCCACAAGGCATCATAGAAAGCTAGAGCTATTCCAGACGGAGAATTCGTGGAGTCTTCAAATCCGTTCTGAAATGTTTTCACCTCTTCTAAAGTGTAACATGGAATGAAAGTATGAATAGATGATTACGTATGGAATTAAAATATGAATAGATGACTATGTAAAGAAGAAAAAGAATTTTAAAAAAGGTTTTATAATACATGTTACCTTTCCCTAGCCAGACAAGACCGCCAATAACAATGATGATGAGAGCTATCAGCTTAGCCACAGTGAAAAAGACCTGCACACTGGCTGCAAATTTGGTGTCCCAGCAATTTATTATTGCAAGAGTTACTGTTGGACAAAACAACAACGCCAGTTATGATTTAGCAGTTGGATAAATGCAAAAATATCTTTGTTTCGCAAAAATACTAAATTTTCTTACTATAGGCCAGTTGATATACCATATATTAAATACTATTAAATAACAGATAAAGCATACCGTTGGATATCAATATGTCAATGTTTTAAATCTATCAAACTTAATAAATTGACGTAATAAACCCAATCAATTGACGTAATGAACATTAACAGGTATATTTTACCACCGATTTCCCTAGAAAGTTATGCAATGAAAACATCAAATTTAGAAACACAGTTTCCAAATTGCTCAATTACTTACTCATTGCAAGAGCAGCGATCACTTTCTTTGGTACCGGCTGCTCTCCACACAAGTCGAATAAAGCAATGAAGTACTCTGCAAAGGTAAGACAGATGATGGCCATGGAGGATGGGTTGAGCACTATGATCTTAGTCCATGCAAATAGGTAAGCCATCACCCTTCCCATTGCGACCATTATATAACTGTACTCTCCTCCTGACTTTGGAATTAGTATCCCAAGCTCCGCATAGGAAAGAGAACCTACAAATATACATACATGTATGTATACCATGTATTTACAATGTGATTGCGAATATTATATTCATATAAATAATTCGACATTTTGCTAATCGAACTTTTATTATCCAAAAAGTTTTCAAACCTCTATTTTTATAGATGACACAATTTTTATTTGCAACAAAAACAAGTTTTATATGTAAATAGATGTATATAGATACCAGTGAGAGATAGGAAACCTACTGCAGCCCATACCACAAGACTTAACCCCACAGATCCTGTCTCCTGAAACACTCCTTTAGGGGAAATGAAAATACCTGAACCTAGAGGAAAAGTACAATTTGTCATGATTCCTAGACAAAATAAATATAAAATAAGATAAAACAGATAAATAAAAGATACAAAAAGTAGTCAACATGGCATATACACTAGACAAAATTGCTAACGCACGTACCACTTGTAATTCTGGTTTGTTAATTGAACATTTGCCTAATCGGTGCTAGTATATCTAATACGCCATTTTTCCCCAATAAAGTGGAATTCATAAATTTCTTGTGTCATGACAAGACCCTTATATGACTTTCTTGCTCAAAAAAAAAAAAAAAAAAAAAAAAATCGGAGGCGTGCACTGCGCACTGTTTTTGCCATGCAGATATGAAGTTTGTGATTACCGATGGTGGTCAGTGAGCTTGCACAGAAGCAATCTCCAAGTTAAAAATCAAAAATTAACTGCGATTAACTATAATATTGCCTAGTAGTCACACAGTACCTTGCTGACCATGCCCAGTTCACCCTATTTCTTATTCCCCAATTTTGTGAAACAATCTTGAAATTTCTTAATGCCTTGGATATCTATAGAAAACATGTTAATGCTTGTTACTTCATCTGCAACAATTTTTCACAAGAAGAAAGAATAATCTTTTATTTGTTTTAATTTATTTTTAGTCGCCCGCGTGGCGCAGTGGTTAGAGCGTCTGCTCTAGAGTTGCGAAGTAAGGAGTTGATCCTTACGCGGTTCGAATCCCACTGTGGGACGTGGAGACCGGTTCTTTGATTGAAACCGTATAAACCGAGGTTTAAACCGTGTCGCAGTAGGTGCTAGCACGAAAAAGATGCCTCACTGCTCAATTGCCCTAAGTGCCGAGTATAGGTCAAAATTTGCAGTTCTCCATCGGCAAGTGGTGGCATCTCCATATGAGTGAAAATTTCTCGGGAGGGACGTTAAACAACAACGACAAAACAAACAATTCATTTTTACGGACACCATACTGACTGCTTTAGCAGGCTCTTCTAGAGTCAAACGCCGCATACAGTATTTTTAATAAGAACAGACATAAAGAACACAAATAACAAATAGAAATTTATCCCTTCAAAGAGTGTGAGCACACTTTTCATTTTTCTGTGAAATGGTTACGCTTCAGTTAACATTGTAATTATTTATCAGCTGAGACATTTAAATGCCTCATTCTTTACTTTGGTAACAAATTTATACATGTATATCAAATACATCATAAACAAGTTTTGAATAGTAAAATATTAATTTTTTTGGTGGGTCTTATTTGCAATTTCGTCTAGTGTACTTACAAAAACAGAAATAAAATAAACTTTATTTATAACAATTCTTGTAATGTCAGAGTTTCCTACCTATAATGGTCCCCACGATTATAGAAGTTCCACTGATTAATCCGAGGTTCCGTTTAAGCCTAATCCCACCTTTAATTTCAACGTTCACCTGTGGGGCCTCCCCACTGTTTACGCCCCTTTGTGATAACTCCATACCCCTTCCTCTACAGCATAAACACGTATTTCAACAGGTTTCTTGTATGTAGTGACATGTTTTTCCATACAAAATTAAGAGAGCTTTTATGAAGTTGTACCAGCTGCAACAGAGTAAAGTGATCGTAGAGTCCAGACTAATTTGTGTTATGCATATTATTGTTTATCATCTTAAGATCACAAACGTTTATAGAATGCCTCATTTAGTTACGCAATTATTCTAAAGAGTATTAAGTGTAGTAAAAATATTTCAAGTAAGCTTGACAAAAATATATAGTTATAATTATAATGTGTTTATTTAAGAGAAATATAGGCAAAATAAAAAGAGGAAGAAATTAAGAAAACAGGATGAAAGCTTTTTCTGTGATACGTTGAAGTTTATTGGCTTGTAAAAGACTGCTCTGAAACGCCTTTATGGAAGCTTTTAAGATTTTCAAAATTAAAATTACAGGAAAGATGTCCAAAAGTTTCAAATTATGAAGTTGTATTTATTCTTAAGTAGCCGATCCGTAACACGATATTGAAAGAATGTTTCTTTTATCACAATATACATTTATTGCATGATAGTGAAGGAGACATGAAGATTTCCTCGCCCATGAAAAATCATATTATATATGATTTATCATGGGTGAAGAAATCTTTTTGTCTCCCGAACATTCATGCAATAAATTGTTTATTATACCGAATCAAGCACAATGCAGGAAATATAAAGAAAGTCCAATTAATAAAGTAAACATTTGATAAGAACAATATGAAACAGAAGTAAGTTACACCACTAGTCACGCTTCACAAAAAAAACAAAAAAAAAAAAAACAAAAAAAAAAAAACAAAAACAAAAACAAAAAAACAAAAAAAAAAAAAAAAGAAAGAAAGAAAGAAAAACAAAACAAAATATTCCTTCGTGACAAGTCAGTGTAATTTATACACCAGTAACATTAAAACCCCACCCATGAAAACACTTTTCTAAATATATATATTTTACACGTTTAAATTGACACAATCAATCAACGGTACATTAACAATCTAACTCAGTAGTAAACTCAGTCGCCGCATTGTGACGTCATACTCGTGAAACACGACGTGAAACAAGAAGTTTTGTTGCAGGGCAAACACGACGGTTATGTGACTGTCTCGGCCAATCAGATTCTATTTTACTAGTGATTATTAATATGAGGCATAATAAGAAGGATTGTTGTCCGAGTATTGTAATTTTTTTTTTTATTTGAGGTTCGATATTTTTGCATTTATTATCTCATTGAAAATAGAAAGGGTTTTTGTGATAATTTTGAAAATTTTGTAGAAGTATGAAATGATAAATATTTGAAATAAATCCTTTCCAAAATTTTCCAACTATTTTCTTTCAGTGTCCTTGACATTCAACAATTATCACAAGATCTAAAGCTTTTTCCTTCTCCTTGTGTTACAAAGATTACAAACATCATTTTACAATACCACTGTCAATTAAACATTTCTTCTGATGCCAGTCTATTAAATATCATTCGACTGCATTCATTTCTTTCTGATGATAGAAATTGGTATACAATACATTATTAAGAATGATTTTGCTGAAATAATGCAAAACAGATCGTATTAAGTGTTACCCAAATTGCCTTAGTATACCTAAATTTGGTATAAAAACTGCAAATACACAAAGCCAAAAAAAAAAAAAAAAAAAAATGGTGTTCTTGATAAAAAGAGCTAATGATCGCTTTGACATTTCAATACCCTTCATAAAATGAGCATTTAGTGCAGAATACTTACATCATACAATAATATTTTGTATTATGTTACATAATTAGGTAATCAACAAATATTCTCCACATTACTCAAGAACGTTAAAAAAATAATGTTAAGTTTGAAGGAAATGCTTGATAAAAATATATGCACAAAAATATTTGATCTATGAAGCAATTAATTTAGCTTGATATCTATCTATCTATCTATCTATCTATCTATCTATCTATCTATCTATCTATCTATCTATCTATCTATATATATATATATATATATATATATATATATATATATATATATATATATATATATATATATATATATATATATATATATATATATATATATATATATATATATATATATATATATATATACATATACATATATATATATATATATATATATATATATATATATATATATATATATATATATATATTTAACAACCAAGCTTAATGATAAACGTGATGACTTTTCAATCGTCAACTTTCCTTACTTATGCAGCAATATACCTTCATCACCTGCATACGGGGTTTTTATAATTCTCAGTTGATTCGATACGAAAGAGCATGCTATGAACAATTTCTAAACGAGGTAAGTTATTGACAAACAAGTTGATGAAACAAGAATATCAGCAGTCTCGTTTAAAGTCGTCATTTTGTAAGTTCTATGAACACACTGAATTGACGACGGATTTATCCGTTATTTCCCGGTCATGACAAGGAGCACACGGCGGATGTGACCGGTCGGCAGGGGATGCTCACTCCTCCATGGCACCTGATCCCACCTCTGATGTTTTAGAGGTCCGTGTTTGCTCTAAATATGTATTGCTTAATGGACTTTTGAGCTTGAATACTGTTCGTTATCTCCATATATTTCATATGGAGCAAAACAATTATCGTAATTAAAACAATTTAAAGCAAAGAGATGGATTTAAATTTTCTAGTAGGTTTGAAGAACATAAACTTGTCATATACATGTATGAATCACCACGGAAATTAAAAAAAAAGCGATTAAATACGACTAACCAGGATGTCGTTTTTTATACGGAAGAACTGCATTTCATATAATTGTGCAACTAATACATTTTTGTCTAAATTTACACAATGACTTGTAAAGTGCATTTACTTAAATGATACTTAAATATTTTTTATCGTAAAAACAAAACAATCTACCAATAATTATACGTTTACTTGGATATGCTTAGAAAATGGAATAGGAATAATATCACAGGTCTGTATGATCAAATGATAAAATATGTTGAAATTATCAACCTATAGTAATTTATAGATGAAAGTCAGAGAAATAGATTTATAATTGGATTGAGATGGTGGCACCCTTTCTAGCTTAAACCCAAGGGAATGTAAGAAGCAGTGTAATCGTTAATTTCTGCGAAAATGTTGTCTTTCAAATACTTCACAAAATTAAGTAAGCATGTACACGTAATTAAATACGTCAGTTATCATTTTTGTGAAACACACTTGCAAAGTGTGTGAATTTTAATCATTATTGATAAATCTTGAAACATCTGAAATTCACAGATTAATTTTCAGGATTGGAAAAGTAGCCATCGTCCCCATTCATTAACGGATAAGTGTACTAAATAATTACAATCTTCATAATGTTAGATTGTGTAAATCGATCATAAAAATTGGTTTCCAAGCTGATTCATTAAAAAAAGAATGGACTGTGGTAACTATTCAATACAATATCCCCATTCCTGCTATGAGTTATCTGAAACATGGAGATAACGAACAGCATTCAAGCTCAAGTCCATTAAAACAATACAAATCGGGAGTAGAGCAAACACGGACCCCCCCCCCCAAAAAAAAAAAATAACAGAGGCCGGATCAGGTGCCATGGAGGAGTGAACATCCCCTGCCGACCGGTCCGACGGGTCACACCCGGATTAAGATTATGCTGTTTCAAATTTCAATAACACTAGTTATTTGATTTTCTTGCAAATTTGATGCCATATCTCTTTGTCATTGCCGCCACATGGCTTAAATCATGTTTTCTTTCTAAAACAAAAAATCCCCTACTGAATATACTTGAATAAAGCGCCTTATGATAGACGATCCTAAATGCCAAACATTTATTGCTACACCTGCAGAATTTACAATCGAAAAAGATAACAGAACTACATTGCTTTTTCTAATGCTGATACCTCTAAGTAAAATCTCGATGCATCTCAACTATGACCACACTCTTGCTCAGAAGCTTCGTCTTTTCTTCCTAAACAGGCTGTTTACAGGCACCAATCCTAAATAAATATCTATAACCTATGCTTCACATCCACGATGTCTAGAACCCCATGTGCAAAACAAAAATAAATGTAAAAGGTGAAGGTAATAAACAGAGATCAATCTCCTAAATCCAGCAGAGAATAGGAATCGTGAATAGGGCGAAACACGGCCCCCTGGAAACACCATTGGTGTGATCAGGTGCCTTGGAAGAGTAAGCATCCCTGTCGACCGGTCACACTGACACAAGAGCCCTTTGTATTTTTATCAGGTAAATGGAGTAATCTGTAACAAAATTAGTGTAATACCATAGCCTAATATATGCCAGTCAAAATAAGACCTCATCAAAGACTTACCACTAAAATGAAGATGAAATATGCTTTTAATTTCAGCATATCTCAAATGTAGTTTACAATTGTCTTATAAGGAGAAAAATAGTAATTCATCCTAGGAAATGCAAACAATGTTATTTTTTCCATAAAGGGCCTGAACACATTTGCCTTGTTTTGTTTACAATTTTAAATTCTATTTTTATTCAAATAAAATTGTTCAGTTTAAGGAGGGATTCTTCTCATATTTCTTATATTTAAATATTAATAAAATTTTCATAGATTCAAGAAGACATTATCACTAAGTGATGGTATCAATTAGATTAAATTTGTCCCTTTTATTTTAGAAGCAAGGTCAGGTCAAAGTCATTATCTTTTACCTTGATATTAAGAATAAAATATTATTATTGCCAAACATGTGATGCCTTCTTCTATTTCAAAAGATAAATGGTTTATCTTTTTGCATTAAAAGGCGTTACCATATAGGGTCTGTCAGAAGACACTACCAAACTGTCATGAATAATTTAACGGAATTGGATATAAGCTAATCCGAATTTCCTTTGTTTTTCTTAAATTTTTAGGGAATATTAGTCATTATTAAATGCTTCTTATATTTAATTTTTTCCTATATAGTATATATAGTAAAGTATAGTAAAGTAGTACTATAAAGATACAAAATGATACAAAAACAAAAAGTTTTGACCGTTTACTATGAGAGAAAAAACACTTTTTACTGATTTTATTCTCAAATC